GTTTCGGACGGGGTCTTCATCATGAACGCGTGAGAGAAATCATGCAGCTCTCCGCGTTTAGGACGTAAATTTTAGGTTGCTTGGGATTTGGGATTTTTGACCTGGCTTGGGCCACTCGGCCGTCGCGTCGTAAACGCGTGACGTAGGCTTTTGCCGAGAACACCCGAAGCAGAGCGCACACGGACAGGCTACATATGCTTGTGTAAAATACCCACGGGAGGCATGGAGAGGGTAAGCGCTCGCGCGGTTTACCCACGATTCTGGCATCACTGGTGCCCAGGGGCACGGCGAAGCCTGTTGTGCGGGGTCGCTGCGTCACGCCGGTCGCCCCGCGACCGGCCGAGAGGAGGGAGGGCTCAGGGGTCTCTGATGATACCTGATTCTACCCATTCCTTTATCTGTTCGCTCAAAATCTTTTTTTCTTTTGGTGCCAATCGTCTCGGCTGTTGACTAATCGGATTATCGCACTTTAACGTGATTTTAGTTTCGACCGTCGTTTCTACGTCTAATTTAGCGTTATAGTCCCTAATCAAGTTTTCAATTCTTTCTTTATACGGTTTTTCCGCAACAACTTCGCACTCCGACACATAAAACACTTTCGACAATTTCGCGATTTCACAATCTTGCTCGGATGTTCCTGCTTCTTCTACGGTGTTCCTCTGGTCTTCTCTATCTTCGGTCACCGCATCCGGATGTAATCGTTTTATTATCGTTGATCCACCTCGAATCAAAACCTCCGTATTTTTCAACAGTGCGTGTCCTAAGATCACTTCAGACGTCATTGCATTTGTAGGCACCACAAATATTTCAGTCGAAAACAAGTCATCGCCGATGATTATGTCTGTCGTGAACTTTCCAACTGGTCGCGTTTCGATATTGCCCAAAACAATAAATATCCGTGACACTTTGTATAATTTTAGTCGCCCTACTTTATTGTAAACGTCTTCACGAATCAGATTAACATCGCTACCCGTATCGACTAAAGCGTCGCAATCTATCCCGTTAATCTTCACTGTTATCGGACGATCGTTTACGCTTGTCACACAACTGACTTTCGACAATTTTTTATCTGGGGTTGAAGATTTAGTACAGTTTGTCGAAACGTGTCCAAAGTCATTGCAATTGAAACACTTGGGTCCGAGACTTTTATTATTACAGTTTTGTATATTATGATCTGGCGATCCATACAAGAAACATCGTGACTTTTTATTGTTCTGCCAACGCGTACTTTTAAAATCCTTTCCGGCTTCTTTCTTGATTTTCTTATTTGACTTGCCCTTCATCAAGTCATACTTTTACAGCTTTTTCTTCAATTCGTGTAAAGTTTTTGCACTGTACAAAATTGACTTGTTACATTCACCGTCCTGAATGCCATCTATTATGTGTTGCATCAAAGCAGCATCTTCAACATGACCCTGACTTGCGATTTCCTGCATTTCATATACGTATTGCCGTCCACTCTCGTGTGGCAATCTTTTTCTCGCTGCTAATTGTGCGTGTATTAGCGCACTGTTCAACTTACGCTTAAACTCATGTTTTAGCCGACTCTTCAAAATCTTCCATGAGACGATGCCTGTTTCATACGTGATGAATTTCTTCGCTGAACCTCGCAACATACGTTTCCCGTACATGAATAATTGAAGATCAGTCCATCCAAGCAACTCTGCCATATCTTCGAAGTCAGCAATCCACTTCTTGATATCTAAGCCATCATCTCCTGTAAATGGCGTTATGCTTTCTTCGACGTCGTTTATTGTAAAACTGTGTCTTGTCTGGTCGTCATGATGAACTCTTCTATTTCTGGTCCGTGTATTTTTTACAAGTCGCTTTGTTACTTCTTCAGCTTCGTCATCAGAATCTTCTGTAGTAGAATCAGCTTCTCGATTTTCATTTTCGTCATCGTCACTTTCGATGTCACTTCCGTCTTCATCTTTTTGCTTTTCCATGCGTCTTATATAGTCTTTTAGCGTATTTTTTAAGTCCTTTTTCTTTCCGCTTGTCGACAGATGTAATTCTTTTAAAGATTCCTTCAATCTGCTTATTGGCAACGAATCAACTATTTCTAATGTTAGTTTATTTGGATTGTTTGTTGCTATCTCCGGGTTATTCTTCTTTGTTTTACGCGAAGTGGAAGTTGTCGCTTTTTGATTGCCAGCTTTCGTTTTAGACGCTTGTGTCTGTTTAACAACATCTTCTTTCTGTACTGTCACTTCTACGAGAGTGTTATTTCCGTTATCACACTCACTCTCACTACTTCCAACATCACTGTTTCTACCTTTGTCAGACACCTTAGTAATTGTAAGCAGCTGCTCTTACACAAAACACAACCGAGAACCTTTTTTTTTGTTTTAAAAACACTACAATGTTATACACTTAATCGTTTGTAACTGTTAACAATTTCTTTCGCCGTACTTCTGTCCCTCGTTCAACAACTTAACAACTTATTGGTTTGACGCGTGATCAACTTATCACTTTGCCACAACTTTCTAACTGAAATTTGTTAAACTGAGGTGAAATAACAGGACGCGAAAATTGTACTCGACACCTTAACAACTGATCAACTGTATCGCGCACAACTTCATACTTTTAATCATTCAATATCTGTTTTATCGTTCCCGCTCGCTCCTCGATCCCGGACGAGCCCCCAAATGTGGGATTCTTTTTAGCGAGGATGAGGGGATGTAAATAAGTGCAGTATTAAACGAAACAAAAACATTTAAGTAAAGTAAAGGAATAACAAAAAAAAAGGTTTTGACACGGTGCTTCTCGGTTGCTAGAGATCGACTGCCTCTCGTCTCGCGGTTGTCTTCTCACCAACCGTCCATGCCTCTTATCTTCTAACCTAAACATTAGGGCATTCGCCCTCTCACACGCATTCTTACATCCTGCAGTCTTTCCATTTACGC